GGGAGATTAACATCACTCGGAGTGATCACCGGATGACCCATAACAGACATGACGCGTAAACGTAAAGAATCAAGACGGGCAGGAAAACATCGAAGGAAGAAAAGAACGTTTAAGAGGAGGAAGAGCGACGAAATTCCGTTGGCACATAACCAGATTCAACTAATGGGACACAAATAATCGGCAAGTCGCAATCAACATCAAGGAACGTGACATATGAACTGCAAGTCGATAAACAACACACACACACACACACACTACACCCCTCCCACCCCCCCCCACCCCCCACCCACACACTCTCTCTCTCTCTCTCTCTCTCTCCAGAAATCAACATGAACGATTTTCAATCCGAATTTATCAAATTGAAAATTATTAGGTCCCGAGTCTAATCAAATTTCGCTATGATATAACATAGGATTAAATGTGTTTCCGCATGCCTGGTACACACCAAAGTAACTACTATTTTGCTGAAATAATACACCTAACTTGGTTAGCCCATATCCACCAATAGTTGAGTAGGAATTGTCTCCAAGGCGGTGTCTCACAATTAGAATTATAACGTGCTCTGTCTTCCCATGTTTTGTATCTTGTAGAATTCTGTTTTCCGTGTGCGCGCTTATCTGTGTACGGGCGCTCGGGGTCAATACATATTGAGATATCTAGGCATGTCAACAGAAAGAACTTTAAACGAAAGACGCAGAAATACAACGAAGCACAAAATTATAATACAACCACTAATCGTGCGGTTATAATATCTAAATTCTTTGTATTATAAAACATTTCACCAGTATTTTATGTACATGATATTGCTCAAAATTGTTCAGTTACAGGTTAACTGCACAGCAAGTGAGTAATATTTTTTTAAACTGTTATTGACTACATTTTATGGAATATCTTCCATTATACCATAAGTCTGTTAGTTAATTTAACTTTATTGACAGCGGCTATATTACGAATATACGATACTGTAAATATGTACATAGATTTCTAGATATATAAATGATTTCATGCGTGACAGATAACTTTCAGAAGTATAGTCCATAAAAATATGCTATCAACCAGACAGCATGCTCGCCATGACAATTTCAAATATCGACTTTAATTATTGTAATAATAAACACCACAAATTTTGTAAACGCAGCGCTTAGTTTAGAATTAATTACACATTAATTATGTGTTATATAATAAAACATTGAATACATTACAGATATGTCTAAAGATGAAGGTTATACCGAAAAGGGAATCTGCATGGTGAGCTATTCGTCTCCCCAGCGAATAATAAATAAAAAGAATTATCCGTTTAAAAATATGACCCATTCGTCTACGTTAACAAAAATCGCAGCTTAAATAAAAAGAGTATAGTAAAAGGTGTCCACGTTTACACAGAGCACGTATACCATACTATCAGGAGTAGATAATAGGGGATCCTGATACTATGTGATATGCGTGCTCTGGATGACACTAACAACCTGGTATGTTGCGCCACCTATTGAGTAGAGAGGTTCGTGTTTGTTTTTATGCAGGAAAAGACGAAGAATTAGTCTAACAGCACGATATATTGCATGAGGACACGTTCTGATAAGCAGATCGAATCGCGTCAAAGGTAAATGGAACCAATATTTTTTCGAAATGGTTCCGATTCTTAATTTCTGCAGTAACTACAGGAGAGATCACGGTACTATGCGTGTGCCTATGGAACAAGATGAGAAATATTGCTACCCGCACGTTTTTTAAACACAGAGTTATATAATATGTACTGGAATTATGACACGCAGACGAGTAAATAAAATTATATACTCACATCTAGAATAAAAATAATGGCAAGTGGCCTAAATGTTCTGAAATGGGCAAAGGTTATTATTTGCTAAGCGACGGAACACGCCGATAGAAAATATTTCACACCGCAAAATGGACAGATATTATTAGAATATTGAACCGTACATCGTACGGTTGACTTTCTCAAACGGGCATATCTACACAATCGAGTAAAAATATTTATATATATTTAGTATTGCTTAAAATAAAAAAATGTCCTTCTATTTTTGCGCATTCTAATTAGTTTAGAAAGCATGTACCGATGTTTTGAATGTCGTATAAATATGGTGACGTATGATGTACGGGAACTTGAGAGAACTACGTATATAATCAGAAAGTACAGATCATACGAATTTTCTGTCATTTTCATATGCCGATCCTCACCTTTTATAGAGCTGAGGTTATCACCCGTGTTTGGAAACTCCAAATTCTCCTCCGCATTTTAAGGATATCGCCAGTATAACATTCTCCAGATTTCATGCTGCGCCTACTACGCATACTCACTAAATACATCGGCATCATGTAAATTTGACAATACATCAATGTTCAAAACAGCTCATGCTAGAGAGTATTGCCTACACGGAGTCTTCGCATTTGATCCATCTAAACGCTAGAATCAACAGCAGATCACGGGCGCACTTTCTTCTTGAGTGGCAGAAGATAGATGAACAGCGTGACGACGCAGAGAATGCCGTACATGAGAAACATGATACCGAAGTGGAAGTTAGAGGAATTCGTGTCACCCCACAGCGTTGTCAGCACCTTGCGGCCGCTATCGTACCTACACACCGACGGTCCCGAGCAGTCGACGTCCAGATCCCGAAACTCGTTGTCGGCGATGACGTAACCGGCGTAGCGATACACGGTTACGAAACTCGGGTATAAAATGTAGTCCGGTAGAGATCGTATGGGCCTGTAACAGACACGACGCAAAACGTAAATAATCGGAGGATGTACGCAAACATTTCTGCGCGCATGCGCACTCGCCTGTACAACATCTAGTCTGTATTGTCTCTATATCGAGGATGTACGCAAACATTTCTGCGCGCATGCGCACTCGGCTGTACAACATCTAGTCTTTATCGTCTCTAAACACTGTTGGCTCTGTGAGTCTGTAGATACCAAACACGGCGGAGGCTACACCTAAATAGGTGACATTACTCGCATGAGAAGTTATAAAGCCGGGTAGGAGACGGCGCGTGACTATTCGCCCCACAAGCTTGCGATACAATGGAACCTTCTACTAGCCTTCATGTAGCACTGTCACGAGGGTCAATGCTCCTTCTAGTGCCCCCGTCTCGCCAAATTCATTCATGCATGCGTCATCTGTATGCGTGAATGTCATTTAAGCAGCAAATGCACGCACGCACGCACGCACGCACACACACGCACACGCACGCACGCACGCACGTACGCACACACACAAAGTCACACACACACAGTCACATGCTGAACCGCAAAATAGCAGCACCCCCCACCTTCGCTTACTTTATATTTATTTATTTATTTATTTATATTGTGTCTCTTTCACCTACGAGTTCGCAACGTCTGTTCGCAATCATCAAGCATATAAATATTTTAGTTGTTTTGCAAGTGTATTAAAATAAATCCATAATAGAAAATTCTATTAGAAATCGAATAGAAATAGAAATAGAAAATTCGAATAGAAATAGATTTTCTATTATGGACTCTTGATAATATGTATATATTTATAAGTTATATACTAACCAGTAAAGAATAGCGCCCCCGCCAAACGTTGTGATAACGTTGGGTATGAAGTTGTACAGCATCTGCGATAGGATGAACACGAACCCGCTATACAGGTTGTCCTTCGATTCCTGGTAGTAAATGTTGCGATGGAAACCAACTGCAATGTTGAGAACAATATGTTCATCAATGTACACCTAGTATTCGCAGATTTCGCATGATGATGCGTTTATATTGCCTCGAATTGTTGGTAGGTGGCGCCACCGAGACAGACGAGTTTCTGATTAAACTAAACACGATATTGTGATATTGCGCTGATTTACTCTAAGACAAACAGATAGTGTGCGCGCGTGTGTGTGTCTACGCGTGAAGGTGGTCGTATGCGTTAACGCGTACGTAATATCGTACGTGTATGTATGTGCTGGTGCGTGCGTGCGTGTGGGTGCGTGTGAGTGCGTGAGTCAAAGTGGTCGTATGCGTCAACGCGTACGTGATCACGTCCGTGTGCATGTGCGTGCGTGCGTGCGCGTGTGTGCTTAAACGTGTGTGTGCTTAAACGTGGTCGTATGCGTGCGTGCGTGCGTGTGTGTGTATGCGCGTGCGTGTGTGACTGCGGTTGACAGCTACACATTCATTTTTAAACCCCATTAGCGGGCTTCATAAAAATTGCAGCAGCAGTTATGCGACTGTACGATGCAAGTCCTGCGTCGCTATGACAACTATACTTACAGTGAAACGCAGAGGTTAGGCATGAAAGAAACGACACGCCGGCCATCGAGTAGAAGATGATGCCGAGTCTAGTTTGCACGCCAGCCTGGTTGTTTTGCAGCTTCCAGATGAAGAGGAAGAGGATGAGGAAGAAGAAGGGCAGATGCAGGATGCGCCACGATAAGTGCTGCCAGTCTCGCATCAGATGCCACGAGGCACGCCTGTAACGAACGATCACAGTTAAAACAAGCGTAATAAAGTTAATGTTATCGCGGGTTATTAACCAGTAAAACAGTATTTGTTCTTACAGGAGGTGGTTATCACAGGGTTCGGATGTTTACTGCAGTAGATAGCGGCTGTAGGGTTCGCGCTCAACACATATGTTTAATTCACGTGCATGTAATTATTACACTTAGAACTGTACACGTATGTAGATTATCCCGTAACCCTGTCTTACCATAACAGCCGTAGATATTTATAAAGGCTATATTTTGATTATAAACGCGTCCACGTTATGAAATTCATCGCGCGAATGTTAACACATACGATTCAAACACACATCTTATCTATACAACTCAACTGGTAGTACATCTACCAGAGAAACTAATATTTAGTTATATTTAATCAGAAGTAGAAATAATAACGCGTGATTTATTTTATGTTACACTAATCATTATAACACTGTGTAACTTTATATTCTATGTTAATATGCCTGCAGGACAATATGCTACGTACTTACCTAGTGAGAGTGATCGTGTTAGTTATCGGATTCGGTTTTCCGTACGCGGACATTGACGTTCTACTGTGCGATGGGTCCAGTCTGTATTCTATAGATAAACCAGAGTTCAATCTGTTGTTATAGCATTATACGTCTGTCCACATCGTTTCGTTAGTTTTGTTTTTTAACTTATCGTCGCGCATTTATTATACGTAACGAGCCGTTACGTTAGAAGTACACTTTTTACGTTTGAAATTGCATTTAAGTTACTTATGTTAGTTATTTTAAGTTAGTTATTTAACTTATTAACTTTAAGTTAGTTATTTAAGTTATTTTAGCTTCAGATTTACGTTTACATGATGCTCTGGAAAGATTGGAAGTTAATCGTAGCGTTACAAAACAACACTTATATGCGTTACATAAACACTCTGGATTTGTACTAATTAGAAAGTTTACTAATTAAAGCACTAAAAAAGTTGAATTAGAAATGTTCGGATTCGACATCGGTAAACCTAGATGCGCCCCTACCGTCGTTTCGCTCTCCTGTGTAACGCTGGTGTAAGCTGCCGAACTGTCGGAACTTTTCCGTGAGCTTCTCTACTTTTGTGGTTGTCTCGATGAGACGGGCTGGAGTTCTGCGGTCGAGACTCGCGAGGGTTACTGCAGATAATATTTATTTATTTATTGATTATCATTACGATTGCACACGTAAGGTTTTTTTAATCGAGAACGAAATACGTTGAAGCGGTTACTGAGATGTGAGTTTTTTTTATATTAATTTTTATATATTTCTTTTATATTGTTTATCAGATGGACGTGCGAAATTTCGTAGTTTAGATTTTCCGAGTGTGTAGACTTACAGAACGACACTTAATAATCAATTACTTAATAGGGAATTTATTGATTCATATTATTGCTTCTGATATTTGTCTTCATTGTAACTGCAGAGTGGTTGCAGCGTACTTACAGTAGTAATCTAGAGGATTTTCAAACTCTGGACATGGATGACCTATGCTGTGGAAATACTCCAACATATTTTTCGTGTAACCTGCAATAACATATTTTTTTGTAAAGGAAACAGCAACATTGGGTGCTATTAGTCCGGTATTACGGTATACATCATTACGGTAGCAAACCTCTATTCTGAAATGTACCTGCTCAACCTTCGTTTAATGTATTCATTTAATTTATTTTATTGTTTAGTTATTTTATTCATTCAGTCGTTATAACAAGGGACACCCTATTAGTGCACAGCACCCCTCTTTCCAAAAAAAACTTACTTAAAGAAATTTGGGAATAACATTCAAAATGGCGGTCTAAGGACTTCTATGCCGTATGAAAACCTAGATGCTACCTATAGATCGTTTACGTGCTAGTCGTTAGTCAACAACAACCTATTCGTGCACAACACCCCTCTTTCTTAAAAAAACGTACTCAAAGACATTTGCGCATTTAAAATGGCGGATTTTTTGCCGTATGAATACTAGAGATCGTTCGCGTGTTAGTCGTACAGACGTACCGGTGAAGACCACCTCTCCAGCGCAGAGGTAGGTGACGCGATCGAGTAGAGGAAAGATGTCGGAGCGGGGACGGTGGGCGGTGAAGACGACAATGCGATAGTATTTCTTGGCGAAGCGCGACAGCAGAGAGATGATACTGTTCGCACTGAAGCTGTCCAGACCTGTCATCGGTTCCTCGACGAGCAAGATCACTGTGGAAACATAAACATGGGTGCGGTCGTGATATAGTATTATGAGAAGTATGATGTATATAGTCAAGAGTGAATAATAATAGATTATTGATCGAGATAATAGATAATAGATATATTATTATTCACTCCTGATCTAGTGATATGAGTAGTGATATAGTATTATAATAAGTATGATGTAGTCAGGAGTGAAAAATAATAATATATTATTGATCGAGATAATAGATAATAGATCTATTATTATTCACTCCTGATCTAGTGATATGAGTAGTGATATAGTATTATAATAAGTATGATATATAGTGATATGAGTCGTGATATAGTATAATAGTGCCTAGCACGTCCACGTATCAATACGCACGCACGCTCACACACGTGCGCACGCACGCTCACACACGTGCGCACGCACGGCCGAACACACTCACAAATGTACACACGAACACGCGCACAGCTCACACGCTCACGCGTAAACACACGGACGCTCACGCAGGCACACACGTCCACACGCACGCACGCACACACACACGCACGTACACACGCTCATGCACGCACGCACGCACACACGCACGTACACACGCTCACGCACGCACGCACACACACACACACACGCACGTACGCACGCTCACGCACGCACGGCCGAACACACACACACACCCACACACAAATGTACACACGCACGCACGCACGCTCACGCACACACACCCGCCCGCACGCCCGCACGTACGCACGCACGAACGCCCGCACACACGAACACACACACGCACGCACGCACGCACGCACACTTACATGGATCCTTGATGAGTTGCAGTCCGATGATGACACGGCGGCGTTCGCTCTCGGAGAGATTACGCACGAGATCGTTCTCCACGTGAACTAGGTCAAGCTCCACCATCGCCCACTTCACCTGAGTAGAGACGCAGTTATATATAGGTGTGCTGTCGCGTTCACGTCATTTTTGTTATAGGGTTTTACGCATTACTCAACCATCACCTACTTCACCTGTGATCTAGTGGAGGTGGAGCTATGTAGGTGTGGTGTCTTATATTTACGTCTGACGGCATAATTAAAGAAAAGGACCGTAGTGCGTTGTATTTTGGTTATCAGGCTTTACGCATTACTTCACTATCACCCACTTCACCAGTAAGTGAGTATAGAGGTAGAGATACATAGGCGTGTTGTTATATATTTACGCCTGGCAGCGTAATGAATGAAAAACCCGTACAGGTCCTTGCGCGTTACGCCTCTATCGCCCACTTCACATTTGGGTCGCTGTAATTTGTTAGTGGTATCGGGTAGAGACCGGAGTTATATTGCTGCGGTGTGACATATTGACAGCATTATTATAAGAATGGTCATTAGTGCTTCTATATATATTAGTCTTATATCTTATTAGTGCATTTATTTTCGTTACGGTGTTTTACGCGCATTATTCTACCATCGCTAACTTCACGCGTGATCACGTGTATAGGCGTACGTAGTTAGGCGCGTCAACATAACATATGTTTGCGTTTGACAGTCGGCAGTCCGTCTTACGTCACACAGACACTACGTCCAGTCTGCTATGACGCGTGACGTCACGTCGGCTGTCGTTACCTTTTGACGGCGGCGAATAGTATAGTTTGTATTTCACTTGTAGCGTTTTTTTTATTGTTTTGCCTTACGGGGTTCGGTCTTGAAATATGGCTTTTCGTTAAAATAAAAGCTTCATAGACGTATAACGACTTGCATTTTGTCTCATACTCTTACTGGTGATTTTATCGGTTAAGTTTTGCGGGAGATAAAAGGGATTTATAGACGTCGTGGCTTTCGCTTTGCCTCTTAGCCTTACTGGACTAACTTTTTGCTAGTGTATTTACGCGTTTCGACAACCCCTTCCCTCTTTTTTCTCATTTGACAGTAAATTGGATATTGCGTTTACACATTCCTTGGCGTACTGTCTCTCACTTTGTCTAACTGCGCATTAATTCTTTTATGAGTTACGCATTTTAATCTCACACTTTTCCTCTTCCCCTTATCATGCATTAATTTTCCTGTTGGTTTGCGTATTTTAGGCTCATCCTTTCCCTCTTCCCCCAACATCACGCATTAATTTTTCTGCTGTGCTTACGTATTTTAGACTCACCCTTTCCCTCTTCCCCCAACACTATGCATTAATTTTCCTGTTGGGTTTATGTATTCTAGGCTCACTCTTTTCCTTTTCCCCCAACATCATGCATTAATTTTCTTGTTGGGTTTATACGTATTTTAATCTCACACTTTTCCTCTTCCATCATTTTGACTCTTCCATCATTATAGAAATTACCATACGTATTTTAGACTCACCCTTTCCCTCTTCTTCTTGCTGGATATTTTCGAACCGAACGTGAGGTCGGCTGCGTAGCCGAGTGTCTCCTGTACGGTGAGTAGAGGCATCAGCTTGTGGTCGTACGCCACGTAGGCTCCGTGGTCGCTGCAAGAGAAGAAGACACGTGAGGAGCCAGGAGGTGTAGTCGCACGTGTATAGGTGTATAGGTGTATACGTGTATAGGTGTGCGTAGACGTGAGATGCGGGCAACACGTGTGATGCACTGTACTTCACGGTGCTACTTACTGGGACACACCGGATTTCCTGTTTTAAAATGCCAGTTGTTGGTAGTTTTTGACGAAAAAGTGGCCACAACGGGGCAATTTTGTCTTTGAATAGGTGGTTAATAGAACACTGCCATTTTGGAATCGGAACCTTTTTCTACAGATAACGAGTTCATTCGCGGTGTTACACTATTAGGTTATATTATTCATTCTTCCCTAAAGATTCGGATTGAACTAACCCTGGAGTAATCATTCTGCGAGGAAAACATCAGAATGATTACTCCAAGAACTAACTTGGATACATGATTACTCCAAGAACTAACAAGAACAACATAATACACAGCGCAATGTTCTAACACCTAGCCAGCTAGATATGTTAGCGATATGTCCCCGCACATAGGCATGCAGCTAGATATGCTACCGATATGTCCCCGCACATAGGCATGCAGCTAGATATGCTACCGATATGTCCCCGCACATAGGCATGCAGCTAGAT